TTAGCAAGGCTCTAAACAATTTAGCAAGACGCTATCTCTAATAAAATATAAAAAAGGGCAGGAGATGTGACTCAGTGAACCCCTGGGTTCAATCCCCAGTATCAAAAAAAAAAAAAAAAAACCTGGTTGAAAATGATTATATTACACGACAATGAAAAAGCATATGTTTTATCACAGAAATCTTGTTGGCATCTTTGAGTAATAATAAAAAATGGGAGAGGTAACAGAAGATTGAGAACTGACAAGTGTTTTCCCAAATACAGAAAAGAACAAGTTGAAAATTAAAATTGAGAAATTTTATGTTTATCACTAGCAAAATATTTTTACTTAGAAAGGAACTATTACTAACTTAAAAAGTAGAGCAACAATCTCATGGTTGGTTCATTAAGAGTCACTCATACTAAACTAATTTAATTTTCCTCTCTTCCTTTTTTTGCTAAAAATAGTAAATTGCTTTTATTAAAATATTTTTAAGTCATTCATGAAATTTTCTTTGACAAAATAAATAAATGTGGACTGTCTCATTTTGTTGGTCCAATATTGATAAAATCTCTTTAAAAAGCATACTAGCAGGAACGATAAAATTGTATAAGTACAAATTCTTGATGGAAGCAATGCTGCTTCTAGGAATTTGAATGCATATACAAAGATGATGTCAAGAATTACAATGTTGTTTGTAGTAATAAATAGCTAGAAACAACCTAAATGTGTATCAATAAGGGATTAGTTAAATAAATTGTCATATTATTTTTATTGGTATGACTTTATGACTAAAGGTTCAGAAAAAGCTTTAGGAAATAAACAGAATCTAATGGATATCATTTGCATAACAGTAGAGGAGATTTCAAAAATATTTAATAACCAGCATGCCTCTGACCCCAACAAATCAGAACTTAGCCTGAAGCTGGGCCTTGAAAGCCCTTCCTGTGCCAAGTGTTCAAAGCCTAAGGGGTCTCAGGTAGAGACCAAGTGAAGGAAGGCCACTGGTCAGGGAAGGAGAACAAGAGCATTTCATATTTTAACAACTTAAATTAGCAAAAAGTAGAGAATACATAGTAATTGCATAGGCAATAGCTATTACAGATTACTGGATTCTTAAAACTAGGATTCCTTTGCTATCCCATATTGGGAAAAGAAACTGCAGAGTGCAGCAAAAAAAAAAAAAAAGCCAGTTAATCCTGTAAATTCACATGGAAACATGATTTTAGAGCTCTAGCCCTGGACTAAGACAGATCCCTGTTCCTCTTATAGAGAATCTCAGGGAAGTTGATTTTCTTTCTTATTCTCCCTTCACCCCCCACTCACAAAAACACACACAAGGAAAGGAAGCACTATGACAACAGGCCTTTATTTCACTCATAAATTTCCCCAGAACTTTGGAGTGAATTTCATCAAAGTCAACACTAGAATAGTCACAATTTAGCTCCTTGTGCAATCTTGCCTCTCAGGTACTTCGTGGGCTCCTCACTGAGCTAATTTGGGGGTCTCTTTGTATTGATACTTCCTCCAGGGGCTTCACTGAAACCTGGTAATTCATTTATTATCTAATTAATCGTATACCTCCATCCCTGTTCTCTGTTCCTATGCATATAGGTAGAGAAGATAAATGCTTATACAGTATAATTTAAGCAATGCTACTCTGAGTGCACACCTTCAATGAGATAAGGAACTTGCACCAAAATGCAAGTAAATGGAAGACTGTTTCCCTCATCTAGAAAGTTTGGCTACAAAGTGCTTCAGAGGTAGCTGTTACATTCAGGCACAAGTTCTGTATTATCTTGCATGAACCAATAAAAAAAAAATTGAGAACTGCACATCACACTTTGAATAGCACTAATTTAGAGGGGCTAAAGCACTCAGGTTCCAATATATGAGAGTCCTTCTTTAAATAAAATATTGTTTTCTCCATCAAACCCATTTCCACGTGGACAAAAGGAACCTGAAACAGCACAAGCCTAATGGTTAGGATAGTAAAAGGCAGGAAAAGGGAAGAGAGGTGCCAAATAAACCAGAACAAATTTTGCCCAAAGGAACTTAAAGTCCCTTTCCATCCCTGAAGTTAGTAATTTAATGGGTAACAGATTACTGACTGAGTCCCAGACACCAATAATGTAGTTAAAAACAGTAATTAAGCATGTGAAAGTCAGGTGCAGTGGCTAATAGTCTTGTTCACTTTCAAAATTTCTGCAGTCTCAATTTTCTATCACTTTTCATTAAATTAGCAACTTGGCTAAACTCAGGATTTATACCCCACACTAACATGTCACTTAAAATCTAGAATCCAAACAAGAAACAGAAAAATCATACTTTTTGAATCTCTGGACTAACATTCCCATGAGCCTATGATCCAGAAATAAACACTATTTTTAAGTCTTCATTACAAAGCACATAGTTTCTTTTCAGGCAATACTAGGCTGCCAACTTTCCTTCTTAAATCTTAATCCCTTCTATTTCAAAGGAAAAATAAAAACATGCAAACGTAAGTTTATAGGGAAGAGAAAATAGAACTCCCATCCATCCATAGTTATAGTGTTCCTCTAAATGTAACTGAAAAGTAAAACTGCACAGTTTATGAAAGCATTTTTAAATACTTTCTTTAAGAAATTCATTCTTTAAGAATCCACAACTCTATACCTCATCTCCCACAAATTATACTGATATCTCTAACCTCTTCACTTTGATACTTTTGGACCAAGCACCAACTCAAATAATAGGATTTATTAATCATTAATTCCTTAGCTTTTTCCCTTCATTACATTCTATTTTTACAACATGGTTCCCAAATTTCAACAATAAAAAAAATTAAAACTCACCTTCCCTACCTCCCACCCTATCCATGTCTTAACTGTTGTCATGTTTCCCTAAGTAGAAAAACCAAATACTGAATTTATGCTCTTGCATATACCCTCTATCCTTTTTCTTTCCATTCTGCAGCCTATAGATTTTCTCCAAATGCTTCTGATTTCCCCAGTTTTACTATAATTGAAGTATTTCTTTTCCTGTTTCTGCTATTTCTTTTTCTCAGCTGCATCATGAAATTCATTTAAATCAGAACTGTATATGTTCTTCTAGCAGAAGTTATTTACAAATTCTATTATTCTGAATCCAAAGTAACATAAGTAGTCAAACAATAATACTATCTGTTGTTTTCAGACAGAGTTGAAGCACTTTTGACTCTAATATGAAGCTTTGTTGATATCTGAAAATTTATAAATTGCAATGTTGTAAATAGAAGAAATATGTCCTTCCAAACACTTATTATTGCCATCTATATGCCTGATAAAAATGTTTTGCACTTCATAGATAATAAATATTGCATTTGGTAGATAAGAAATTTTATAATACTTTAAAAGAAACAGAAAAAGTACATCTTAAAAATCACAACCTTTCCCTCAAATGTAATGTTGTCTAATCCAACAACTCCACATTTAAGAACAGAGATTAAGGAAGTTATATTAAATATAAATACATACATACACATATACATAGGTAAATAAATACACAAGTGTGTTTATCATGGCACCTGGATATTAAGCAATGATTAATAAAATTACATCTGTTCACTTGAAAGAATGTTAACAGAAGATATTATTATTTAAAATAATATCTTGTAGAATAGATAATATTATATGGAAAATATTTGGGTACAAGGTTAAATGAAAAAGTGAGTTTCCAAATATTACCTGCAATATTATTACAATTATTTTTAAAGCAATCCAGAAAGAAAAAAAAACAGTAGGAAATACATATCAATGAACTTACACACAATAATTTTTTCTCTATGCTTTCAAAATTCCTACAATGAGAACTTAATATTTTTATTTTATAGTAATAAAAAATGTTTTACTATAAAAATCCCAATCTTTTATTAAAATAATAAGAAAGGCTCAGCTATATGTAAGAGGAAACAAATGGAATAAGTTTGCTATATTCTCAGTATTTTTATTTTTCCACTTAATTAAATCATCCTTTGCTATTACTGAGGTAATTTTTTATACTGGGAAATGAAATTTTAACAGTACATTTATCTATACCATTCAAATGTGACTAGTAATAATCCACATCTCCAAATCACAGCTATTCTCAATATGCTAAACTTTCAGTCCATCTAAAAATGCTAGCCACAAACCCAGAACTAAAGCTAATTTAAATCCTGTTTTCCCCATTTACATCTTTTAAACAAGTCATTGAATCACATGTATCTCCAAAGATGTTGCAAAGTATTAGTGGTATATATCAGTGACTCAGAACCTATACAATTCATGAACTCCCTGATGCCTATTCTCAATTTCTTCTTGTTTCTATTTGAACTCATTTCTTCCACTTCTGTCCTCAATGCAACTGGCAGCAGCTGCTCAGTCCTTCAGACCCCTTTAGATAACAACCTTCTCTTTACATGATTACATCCCATGTCCATTCCACACAGTGATTTTTATTTGGTTATAAATGGTGGTCCAACAGTTCTGAGAGCATTCCACAATCTCCTAATATCACTGACAATTATATAACAAAAATAAGACAAATATTATATTCAGAAAATAATGTTTTTGGCTACTATCTCACTTGAAACATCTTCTATTTACTGTAAATAGCTTCTGCTTGAAAGTAAAATCTCTTCAAATATTTTCCATCTTTGCTTCCTTTTCCTCAGCCCCATGCCAAAGCACAAAGCATCCAGGCCATATCTTATCTTTTCCTACACAGCATCCAATTGACTTTTTATAGCCAGAAACTTTGAATGCAAAGCACGACCTTGGCTACTAGCTTCCCCTGGCACTAGTTTGAAAGTTATTTATAACTTTAAAATTATCATGAAGCCCACATTTCTCATCATAACTAGTCAAAACATTTCTATTTTATGTAACAATGTGGGTTCTTCTTTCATTCAGAAGGAACCCCCACATTTTAAACCTACAGTATATAACTAAGACACAGCAATTCACGGGAGAAATGAGAATGCACTGAAGTCCAGCTCTTCTCTTTACAAACTTGACTCTTACCTTTCTGTTGCTTCCTATCAAGTAAATGTGCTTAAAAATTCAGCTCTTGTAGGTAATTTTCCAAAAAGAGCTTTTGGGGATAGGAAAAAAAACAAAGCTTCTTGATAGTCACAGAGTTATACAGTACCAAATGGAGAGTCAGTGACAGTGGGGCAGTCACTTCAGCTGAGCACTGTTCACCCAGGATAAGAAAGAAAGGGGAGGTTACAAGCCAGGGTGGGTGGTATCTAATCCTGAACCACTAGGCACTGACCTCACTGACAACTTGTTACTGAAAATACTTCTTTGAAAAAGGCCAGACACATATTTTGCCTAAAGACCTACATAGCTGTTAGGAAGCTCTGAATAAGTTAGATTTAAATTTCTATAGTTCCTTTCCAAAATAAGGACCTCTTATTTCTAATTAAAGCAGAAGGCAAGAATTATTGAAAGTGAAAAATTATAAAGCAGTGATAACTGGAGTCCAGGAAATCCTCACATCAAAAGGTCAATTATATAAAATTCAGTGTATTTTGAAACATAGAGATGATAGCATCAACACCACGTGTCTAAGATAGTATTTTTCCTCTGAAATCTTACTTATCTCATACTCTTGTACCACATATCAAATTCTTTGCTTTCAGTATTTATGGGGAACCATATAATTATCAGTAAAAAATTTAAACTGAAGATTTACCCAAAACTCCATAAATGGAACAATTATTACATTAAACCACCAAAAAGGACTTCTCCCCCAAAATTTTGTTCTTTCTCTCAATGATCATCCTTCTCTGTATTTCCTCTTTCTTTCCCCTGACCCTGTTTTAATTTCATATTCAATACTCATCAAAACAATGTCCTAACATCCCCCTGGACAATATTGCATAGCCTTGCTTTATTCTTTTCACAGTGTCAGTTCCTTGACCCATACAGTTCCTTGTATGGCATTTCCTTGGACAATACCACTTTTCTGTCATCTACTGACTTCTAAAACAAGAGGTGGTAACTAAAATATGAGCTATTCATTTAAGCAGTCCTATTCTTAAAGGGCTGAATCCAAAATAAAAGAAGCATTTATTTATTAGCTCTACAGACACTCTTGGAACAAATATCAGGGAGCCAAGAGGAAAGACGGTGTCTGGGAATTGTCAAAGAGAATCAACTATGAAAGGGTTTTAATTTCATGATTTCCAGAGAAACCTAGTATATTTTTATGTAGCTTCCCTTAAAATGTGCATAATTGACATTGATCTAAAGATTCTTAGTTGCTAACATACTGTCCTCCCCAGATTTTTTTTTAAACAGCTTTTCTCCCCTTGGAGAATCTAGGAATAGCCTCTTTTCACAGAGAAACAAAGAGTAAGTTTTATGTCTCTCAATCCATCTTTTCTTGAATAAAGAAATCACTTGACACTTAAAAAAAATAGCAGGTTTTGTTTTAAAGCTTTAATAATGAATGCTTTCCAAACCAGGACTGTTGAATTGAGCCCAAGATAAGATATCCAAATTCTATTATGAGCCTAGCCGGCCTAGCTGTAACATTGCAATAAGTTACCTACCTATTCTATACCTATCCTTTCCATCCTCAAAATGGACATAAAAACCGCTATTCATTCTATCTACTTTTCAGTGAATATGGGAATTAAATGGATAAAATCTGGAGTGCTTCAATTATATTGAACTCCTCAGAGAGATAATGCAGATAAAACATTACAGTACTTGGTGACATCAAAAAAATTAAATATTATAAACATCTGGAATATAATTTTAAAGAGTTTTGCGGAATGTTTTGCTGTAGCTGTTGAATTCTCGTAAAAATGTCTGCATCTTCCAGACAGGCTTTAACTGAAGTTATTTCCTACTCTAGCCACAAGGGGTCCTCTCCTAGCAATTCCAATCACGCAGGGACCCCATGGTCCTTTGTATTTATATTTGTTTGCTGACAGAAAACACAGATCACCTATGTCAAATTTCCATAGCTAACTATAGGGGAGCAAACAAAACCAGAGAGATCTGGCTTTCTCTGTGTGATCGCTGAAGCATGCTGAACACTAAATAGTTCCTGTAAACTACACAGTGCTGCCTTTTGCATACTGGCCCCCTTCCAGATTTTCACAGTAATTCCTTTTTGTCACCTTGCCCAGTCTTGTTCAGTATTTATTCTCCTTCCCTATTTACTTGTTTCCTTTCTTTATACTTTTCAAACTTGAAATTTTTGGCTCACATCCTCTTCCAAGCAAACAAAGGTTAGAAGTAGAAAAAACAGAAAAAAGAGAAAAGTAGGAGGATAAATCAGAGTTATTTGTAGCAATCCTCCTGAGGTAATCAAAAGTGGTTTTGGTTTTGGATGTCAGGGCTGGTCCCAGACAAAGTCATTCAACTGGATATACTGAGAAGCCCTTGATATGGAGGCCTGTATTAGAAGCCAGCCAGAAGAATAGAGGCAGGGAAAGGTCTTTAAGAAAAAGACAATTCTATCCTATCAGTAGCCCCTCTTGCAAAATAAGCTCTCTGGAATGCAATCAATTGTTTAATCAGAATGGGATACAGTTTCTTCTTATCATTAAAATCCCTTAAAAATGAAAACAGCTTTTGCATGAATTATGAGTACATTTTATGGTAAACATGATACCTCAAAATGTTGGCAATTTCAGTTTGGGGCTTTAAAAAGTATTTAACTTTCTGAACAGCTATAATACCTTTTAAAATGAGACTCAAAGCTAAGAATAATTCCTGTCTCTGATAATTAAAATTATTTTATTAGCTGGGCCTGGTGATGCACTCCTGTTATCCCAGCTACCCAGTAGGCTAAGGCAGGAGGATCAAAAGTTCAAAGCCAGACTCAGCAACTTAGCAAAACCCTGTCTCAAAATAAAATAAAAAGTGATGGGTGTGTGTCTTATTGGTAGAGGGCCTCTGGGTACAATCCCCAGTACCATAAAATATATTTTTTATTCAAAAAAATGTGATATATAGTTCTGGCACCTTCTAAGGTGCTTTAGATGAATTGAAATGAATTTTCTCCTGCTTCAAAAGTTTTATGTGCTATAACAGAAAGATGTTTCTCTCTCATTCTTCCCAATCTAATATTAGCTGCTAACCAACTCTCCTGTCTCATAAGAAAAATAGAAGCCATATGAAAGCTGTCACATCTTCAATCATCAAATGTACAAGATCACAAGTACCAAACTTACTATTACAATGCAAGAAATACCCTTGTTCCTACCAAAAGCTAATCTCTCTTCTTCAGCTCTGGATCCTTTCTTGTCCCACCTTCCTCAAGGACTCTGCTCTTTCATTGTCACCTCAAATACTGCATTATCACTGCGTCTCAAATGATCAGGGCAAAACTATGCCACAGAACCTCTAGCTAAAAAATATCAAAGAGGGGCTGGAGGACAGCTCAGTGTTAGAGTACATGCTTAGCATGTGTGAGACCCTGACTTAAAAGTATTTTTAGAAAATTAATCAAATAAACAAAAACATTGCCTTCACCCTAAAAAACCTTCTAGTTTTAACTCCCTTCCACCATCTCCATATTTTCACCTCTCATTCATTCCATTACACATTGCATGTGATTTATGTTTCCTTCATCCCCATAAGGATCATTTTTAAGTGGACCAACAATCTCCATGTGGTCAAATCTATAGTCGCCTTAGGGGATTTCATCTAATTCATACGTTTATATGACAACTGTTATAGGATGTGGAGTGGACTTTTCCTGTTGCCCATAACTGGCAATTAGGGCTTAAAATAGGAGTGTAGGGGTAGTGAAGCCATCAACCTACATTAACATGCTAAAGAATTTTCAATATTTGAAGACAGACACATCACCAAGGGCTTACTAAAAGGCAGTTAACATGCTCTGCTCTCCATATTGTCTCCCCTAACCCTAACACCGCAGGAAAAGTTAGTAAGCCTGAAAAGTTAAAGGACCAAGGCCTACTTCCCTCCTCTCAAAGATAACAGAGCAGAAGTGGTGAAAAAGTTCATCAGCTCCTTCCCCGTTATAAGTCTTTCAAAGGGACTGGTCAGAGCAAGGGGAAAAAGAAAAGAGATTTAAATTGGAATAATATAATATATTAAATATTATAATAATATAATATGTTAAAACTAGAGTTAGTAAACCTTTAGAGAACTGAAAACAGCAGGAGTCTACACAATATATCATTAAGGAAAGAGAAAGAAGATGTAACAGAGCAAAGTGAAATAAGCAATTACAGAAAACACAATAGTTCATTCTACTGTCATATATAACTAAAAAGAACAGATTTTTTAAAAAGTTATAAAAAAAGAAAATAGTTCATTCAATAAATCAGTTGTGTAACTGATTGATGCTTATTCCCAAGTTTGTATTCCAAACCAGACTTCTCTCATGAGCCCCAAAATCATACACGCAACTATCACCTCCATTTGGATAGTTAATATGTACAGTTGATATGTATAGCTAATATGTATTTCTAACAATATGCCATTAAAAAAGAGCTCTTGATTTTGCATCTCAAACCAATTTCCTTCTGTCACTTATATTCCAGTATAGTAACTGGTACCATCGCCCAATTAACAAAACCCAGGAATCATTCTTCATTCATTCTTTTCCCTCATTACCATCAAGAATCCTCACTGATTCTACTCCTAAAATACATCATTTTTTTAAAAAGTATCCTAATATGTTCATTTGTCTGTATATCCCCTGCCCCAACTATTCCAACATCTTCAATCCATTCTGTATATAACTTCAAGGTGATCTTTCAGAACATAGCTTACATCATATAATTCTCCTGCCTAAATTCACCCAATGGCTTTCCATTACTCATAGCAAAAAAAAAAAAAAATCCAAATTCTTAAAAATCTGCAAGACCCTGCAAGACCTGGATTCTATCAGTCTCTCCCATCCTAATTTTTATTACTCTCCCTGCTAATTCACTGACTCCAGTTATACTTTCTGTTCATAAAATACTCAACTGTACTTCCCTATGGCAATTGCACTTGCTATTCCTCTGCATGAAACATTTGTTCCCACCTATTTTCTGGTTCTTTCTCATTCTTAATATAATCTTTCACCTTCTCGGAATGGTACTTCCTGATTACTTTACCTCTTTGCCCCTAGACCTTTATCACAACATTTCATTTCATTTCATTTCATTTCATTCATTCATTCATTCATTTATTTATTTATTTATTCTGTCTTCACCATTGG